CAAGTGACGATTGGGGAATGGAAGTTTGATGATCGGCTTTGGAGCATTATTGCTCTTATCTGGAGTGGCCACCTTTTCTGGAGTCGTACCCTGCAATGTAAAGTTAGATATATTAGTACTACTCTTTAGCCCTGCGAGGCTATTAGCTACATTGTCCGGTTTAACGGAATCAAGATTAGCATTATTTATTAAAGCAGGTTCATCAACTCTGGGCATAAGGGGGCCCTTTATAGTTTGAACCACTCCTGAGAGTAATTACATAGGCTTGATCGGTTGTGCTGGCATAGCTCCCTGTTGGCGGGCTTGTAGAGTAGCGGAAAGTTACGCAATTAGATTGTCTACAATTTTATTGTGTGCTAGAATTGAATCAATTTGGGCATCTCTACTCTCCATGTGCTTCTGCATATTAACCAGCATCGCTCTAATTTCTATCAAAGCAGGGTCGGAAGATGAGGAGGGTTGTTGTGGTTGGTTCTTCTGGCCAGCATTGGGGTGGTAATATTTCTGCTGTTGTTGTTGTGGCGCCTGTGATTCTCGTGGTGGTGGATTTTGAACATTAGTACTCCGGTAGGAAAGGTACGGATGGTTCCGGTACCCAGGATTGTAGGTGTTGGAGTATGGGTTATTCTGCCTATAAGCTTGAAAGACATTAACTTGCTCCACAAAACTCATGCAATCTTGTTCCTAATGACCTAAAATTCCACAATTTTCACAAAAAGCCTCATTAGCATTATTATTAATTGCAGAAACATTAGCTATATTAGCAATGCTAAGATTATCTAATTTCTGGCAGATAGAGGTTAATTGAGCGTGCAAAAAGGATACAGAGTCAACACTATGCTTCCCCTTGTTGGCAAAGCCTCTAGGATTCCATATTGGGAATTGTGTATCGCCATATCTTCAATAACCTGACCTGCATCATCAACATTAAGATTCATAAATCTCCCACTAGCTACAGAATCTAATATTATTCTAGATGAATTTCCGATGCCATTGTAAAATGCTTGGATTAACTGCCATTGTGCTAAATTATGGTGGGGGCATTCTCTTTGTAGGTCCTTGAACCTCTCCCAAGCCTCATATAAAGTTTCATTGGCTTCTTGGGCAAAGTTCTGAATTGCACTCAATAGTACAACTGTTCTCTCTGCAGGATAATATTTGTTATAAAAATTCAAAACAAGAGTTTCTCAGTCAGTTATACCAAGTGCAGTTCTATTTAATCCATTAAACCATAATTTGGATTTTCCAGTTAAAGAAAAAGGAAAGAGAATCTCCCTGAATTGGTCTTGTGTGACCCCAGCTTGCCTGATGGTATTACAATACTGACAATAGTCTGCAATATGAAGATTCAGGTCTTCACCCTTAGCTCCACTAAATTGCTTCCTCTCTATCATCGTTATAAATTGGGGTTTAATCTCAAATTGTACCCCATCAAGAGCTGGAGTGGGAGTAAGGTGTGGAAAATCTGTAAGCTTTGGTTGTGAGTTATCACTAAGCTTCTTTGGAGCTGTCATCTCTGATTCTAGATATGATGATACCTCTGAATCGCTAGAACCAGTTGGAGGGTCCCGGTGATTATTATTATCACCAGAATCCGCCATAATTTGCTTGTAAAAATTGTTCTGTCTATGGAAGGATCGTTCAATCTCAGGATCGAATGGGATGTACCCTGATCTGGAACACCTGGGCATAAACAAAAAAAAAACTAAAACCAAATATGAGACTTGCCTCAAAGAACTAACGTTCTCTGAGACAAAAAGAAATAACCTAGACTACAAAAATAATCAGAAATAAAAATAAAACCGTTTCCCCGGCAACGGCGCCAAATTTTGACATGGTAAAGTCGTATCCCCTAATCAAAAGTAATTCCTAAATCCTATAACTAATGTAGATAGGGAAGTAGGGTTGAATCCACAGAGAAACAAGTCTTTCTATTCCTAACAAATAAAAGTAATCTAAATTAATAAGTAACCAAAATATTATTGTAACACCCCCAAATTACTCTCTAGTAATAATAATAATGCAACTTTAGGGAGTAACTTGGGAGTATTACCGCCACGTGATTACGTAAGGATTTTCAAAAACAGAGACTTGCAGCGGAGAAAATACATACTTAACCTTTATATTGATAATAATAGTAATAGTAGATTTCAAAATTGAACCATATGAGAATTTTTCATACAAAACGTCAACCATGAGACCTAGACTACATGATTATCGCCCTTCATCCCCAATGCCATATTTAGATCACGTCGAGTCATCATCACCTATCTACTTATCATAATGATAAGTAGGGCCAAGCCAAAACAAAAGAGAAATACGTATTAGCAAAACGCTAAGTACATACCAATGCTAGATACGTAAAATCAAGTTATTTAATTACACATGCTTTCGTAAGATTAGCATTTATAAATAGCATTTATTCAAACCTTCCATAAATAGAAACTTCACATTAAGAAACGTTTAGAAACATTCCAAAAATTATCAACATTTTAAAACCAACGACTTTCCCAAAATAGATTCCAATAGAAATGGAAGATCAATATTTTCGTAAACCATTTTTCCACCTAAGTGTGCACACCCCCAAGCTAGTAACTCCTTACATAGTGCTATCAAGGGGAAAGACTAGGTCATACATAGTCCATAGTCTTCAATTTTATCTCCACATAGTGGGAGTCATAAAATCCAATATATATCTTTGATAAATCAACCTTCCAATTCCCATGTATGGGATTTTAACAACATTTGCTCTTTAAAATGAATTTGAATTCAAGTATGAGTATAAACAACTTTGAGAACATTGAAATTATTTCCAAATATCAAACAGTAAAACATTTCACAATATTCATTTCATAAACATTCATAAATCCTTGTTCAACATTCAAACATATTTCATCATTCAACACAAAACACATTTGTATAAAATCACGTATTTAAAGATCTAGCCACGAGTACGTACCTTGATCTTTACAACTATTCCACCTAGATTTACAACCACGAACTATCTCCTAAATAAACATTATATGTAGTATTTTAAATAAGAAGCAAATATGAAACCTTACAAAAATCATAAATTGAAAATAGATATTAGTTATGAAAGACTAACTGCAAAATAATATAAACTAGCAAAGCTCACGGGAAAGTTCACGTTGAAAAGGAGGAGTCAGATCTTGCAGAGGCCATATCTCATAGTATATAACTCCGAATTGGGTGATTCTTGAGCCTAACCTCAAGTATTTTTCGAGAAGAACAACTTTGTATGGCATAAAAAGGCTAAAAATGAACAGAAGTGGCTGAAAAATGGCCTGGAACATATACGGGATGAAGAAGTACGAAAATGGGAGGAAGAGAGAAGAAAGAAGGATGGAACTTTAAGGGCAAGAGACTTTTGGCTTAAAATGGCTGAACTTTGGGTCCTATTTATAGAGTTTGAGAGTCCTATTGACATCATGTATGATGTCAACAACTTGGGGGTCAAGGAAGTTTATGAGGTCATGTTATTGACATCATGTATGATGTCAACAACTTGGGGGACAAGTATTCAAGTTTGTAAGAGAAGTTTGTGACTTTGGTCATGCTTTAGGAGTAAGAAATGGACTTAGGTCCTTTGGCAAAGAAATACTCAAGGTAGAAAAAATCTTATTTTCGGCTACTAAATTCCCGGCTTGCATATCAAAATCTTTTATAAAACATAATTTTAACCAAATGGTTTTCGTAAATAAAACTAAATGAAATTCTTTTAATTTTTGTCACTTTAAAACATAATAATATGTATTATTAATAAATTATGACGTATTCAAGTCAAAACATAATTAATATTTTATAAAACGAGTTTAAAAACACGGGGTATTACAATTATAATCGAAGGGAACTAAACTACTAAGTGTAAAAGTGGGAAAGAATAAAAGTAGGAGGAGAAACAATGAATTAAAGGCCTAGGGCATAGGTTCACCAATAAATAATATTCCAGGGTAAAAACATAATAATGAATCATCAATGCATACATTAATCAGATTATAAAGGTCTTTCGCTACGTATTACAATCACACAGTTAATTTACCAGTATTAAATCTCATCTCTCGAATCTCGACTTAACCATATATAAATTAACCTGCCTATTAAAACTAGACCTAAACATCAATTCTCATCTGTCGAATCTCGAATCAATATTGTTAAACTCATGCATGAAAGATATCTGCAAATCTAGTCACAGAGCATTAAATCAATCAATAGAAAATTAATCTAGCATTGACAATTAACAACAATAAATTACCTTTTCATATTATTTATGGATCCCCACATACCCTAGAAATAAAACTACTCACACATAATTAAATCTAAACTAATCAAAGTAATAAAACAAGACATGATCAAAAGAATAAAATAAATAACTAATATCAAGAGAAGAGAAATCGTTACCAAATAAATATGGAATTAAGAATAGAGTTAAGAACAAAGTATATGAGAGAGAAACTAATCTAAAAGCTAAGTAGAGAGAAATCTAAGAAATAATTAAGAAAGAGTAAAAGAAAGTCCTAAACTCGTTTTACGGAGAAGTATTTATACTCCGTAAGAATCCTAAACTAAAATAAACTTAAACGACGCTAATCGTCTCCTAACAATAACATGCGCCCGATCGGGCGCCTTTTCTCCATCATACATTTCTCGCGCCCGGTCGGGCGCGAGTTCGGGCGCCACCCTTGCTTCCCTCGCCCGACCGGGTGCGCCTCCGGGCGCCAGCCTCTTTGGCCGGGCGGCTCTCTTGGGCCACTATTTGGACTTCGATTGGGCTCTAATTCTTCGGGCCAATCTGGGTTTCCTCTTCGGGTCTTGAATACTCGGTCCAAATGCCCCGGTATCACATATACCGAGCCCTTAATCACCGGTTCGATGGCTCTAACCGGCCCTGGGCTATAAAAACTGGTCGTGCTTCTCCAATGCTCGTAATTGCTCCATAATATCTCGGGAAAATGCTAAAAAAGTGCAAATCCCTGCAAAAGTCAACTAAATCTACGAAAACACTAGAAAACACCAATTAGTAATAAAAGTGGCTCTAAAGAGCCAAAAACACAACTAATTATAACCAAGGAATGGGGGTAAAATACTATATAAAATAGACACATCATGTATAACAATTGTTGTTTTTAAATAGTGGTATAACAAATATAATTGGGTTATAGTTGAAATCTTCCATCAAGCGCCAAACAACATAATTGGATAATCAGGCTAAAAGGATCAACATTTTTTTTTTTTCACACGATTGAAATCATTTTAACACTCATTTTTTCTAGCTATAATCACACAAATTTCTTGACAAGTTTGGCTAAAAAAAACTATAAAAAAGTAAACGCATACTCCTCCAAATTAAAGAATTACAAAGAAACCCCGCTTTGACTAGTATCATCCTCCTTCATTCATTCCTTCTCTCTCCCTTACCCTAATTTTCTCGCTAACTCCTAATCCATGACTTTGGATTTCCATAAAATAAACTACACTCTAATAATGTTCTCTTATAAAGGTTCAAATTTTCTTCTATTTTACTTTTAAAATATAATAGTACTAAAGTTTGTTTTTTTTTTTTTTTTTTTTTTTTAATTTTTTTTATCGCCGTGTTTATTAGCTTTCATGGTATTGCTAACATTACATTATAAAGTCAATTTATGTTAACACCCCATATATCCATTTATCATTTGTCTTAAAGTTCTTCCTATCTCTTCTTCCCTCATTGTTTTCCCAAGCCAATTACCTTCCACTACTTATTACCCTCTTTAATAAGATTTTCTTAAGTCTCCCCCCTCCCCTTTATAATATATGTCTATTCTTCCGTTGTCTTTCTCTTTTTCTCTCTCTTTCCCCCTACATGCATTCCCTCCATGTTGTTTAAGTTTTCTTTCCGCCCTTTCTCATATTTCCTTATATATTAATCATTAAAGTAATGAATCGGCAAACATGAAATCACCAATGATGCAATTAAAATAAATGAAGGAAATATTTTCCATGACACATATGTTTTTTTATATATTGAAAAAAAATATATTCAAAGTAAAAACATTTACTAAAATAACAATTTTTTCCCCATTAAAAATCAAAGTTTAGCATTTGTTAAAATATTAAAAAAAAATAAAAAAATAAAAAGTTAACTCAAAGGTCTGAAACCGCCTCTCCTCTTCCAATTTTCCTCCTCTTTGCCCCCATTTTTTCCCTTCTAAGTTCTAACGGTAAATAAAATACAAATTATATTACAACAGCTGGATATAACAATATCCAGTTGCTCATTTCAGTTTAAATTTTGTTCTAATTTTTAAATTGATATCTCCTTCAGAAAGAAAAAAAAAAAAATTCATGGAAGAAATTCAATATGATCTGGAGCAACACTACAATGGTTTCTTTATACCATTAATGGCGGAACTTAGGATCAAAAAGGCATTGGACTGGAACCCAATTTCGAATTGGGATAAACCGTGCGTACGACAACCTTCTTCTCTATCTCAATTGTGTTTGAAAAATCTGACAAACTTTGCAGATCAAGCAATCGAAAGTTTTGACGAAGTTCCCGATTTGACGCGTCGATTAATCTCTGAAGAATTTTACTATTTGAAGAAGATGAATCCAAGAATTTTTAAACTTCTCTGTAATGTTGCGGATTCGAAAGAAATATGGTTGAAAGATTGTTCTGGGTTTACCGAAGAAGAACTAATTGATGGACTTCAGTCAATTAGAACAACATATTTAGAGGTGAGAAAGGTTTACATTTTCATTGTTTTTTTGGTTTTTCTATTCTGGTTTTAAATTGATTTTTTTTTTTTTCAAGGTCTTGAAGCTAGACGGTTGTGGGTCATCTTTTACTGATAACGTAGTACGAAGTCTCTGCAATATTTCATCTGAGAATCTTACAACACTCTCAATCAGAAAGGCTAGTTTATCTGATATGGGATTGCAGAACATAATCACTAATTTCAAAAACATAACATCGTTAAATGTTGGGGGGTGCTACATAAGTGCTTTGAGTATGAATCACATTTGCTCTGTATTGGGCAAAAATTTGCGCAAGTTGTATCTTGATGGTTGTAAATTTGAGGATATTCAAGTTCTGGCTTCTTCAAAAAAAAATTTTGAGTTTAGATTTCCTTTCGATTTCCTATTTACATGACCTTTCGGATACAATTCTGGAATCTTTCTTGGCTGCCAATGGAAGGAGTTTGAGTCGACTAATTCTTAATGACTGCAGGTGAAATCTGTTTTATCTTTAGTAATTATTTTTAATTTTTATAGATCGATCGTAGTATGTATATTAACTTTTGTATGTATGTTTATTGACATTTATCAAGATAGTATTTATGGAATATATTCATGTTAAAATATATTATGTAAAATAGGATATAATATTTCCTAATTATCTTTTATCTCTAGGATTTCCACAAGATACAATTTTTATAGATTTAGGAACCGTAGAATATTTGTAAATATATATATGAGGCCTTTGCTGCCAAACTAATCAGAAGATTGAGCATTCATCTAACTTTACAATGTTAAACTGTCCAGTCATATTACATATATTGGTGTCAAGAAGATAGTTGAATTCTGTGCTCATCTATCGGAGCTTCATGTATCGATGACGCCTTTTACTATGAGGAGTTTATCATATATTTCTAGACTAAATCTGCGCAAGTTGGACTTCAGTGATCAACAAAGTGTCAGGTTAGGTTGCGAATATATAGTTTTGGCGTTGGAATTTATGTGTTGACATTTGACAGTCTTGTGTTGTTGCTTGAAAACAGTGATGTAGCAATCGCAGCATTCATGGACGCCTCAGGAGCATCGCTAATATATCTTAATCTTAGACACACAACTACAATTAGCTATCATACAGCTAATGCCATTGCCTTAAAGTGTCAGAATTTAAGAATTCTGGATGTTTCGTTTTGTCTTGGACTTACTGACAATGAGCTTGGGAATATTGCTGACAGATGTATGTTGCTTGAGGAGATTCATATTATGAATTGTCATAAGGTGAATAGTGTTGAATATTGATTTTGATGCATTTGTTACACACACATTTAAACTAAGTTACTAACTAGTAGTATTGTTGAATGTTGCTCAGGTTACCCACAAGTTCAGAAACGGACACTCAAATTCTTGCCTTAAGATCATTCACAATGGAGGAACCAACATTTTAACTCATACACCATCTGCTCTAAGGTTTTCACCGAGTAACTTGGCCACTACTCTGAGCGAGGACAATTAAGGATGATGGAGAAAGGCTTACTTTCTAGTAGTGATATGTGATAGTTATGATACTGAGTAGAAAATGGCTTTGACTTTTAGCCTTCTTGTTAGGTAGATTTTTGGCAAGTATTTCTTACTTGATTAATGCTTTGGAGCATTACAGCATGCAATTCTTTTTGTTTTAATAACACTCTGGTTTAGACATTTACAATGTTCTAATATAGATTTCGATCGCTAATTAGAGTAATTACTGCTGAATTTATCTGTACAACTACTATCAATCTATGTGTATATGTATACATGTAGAATTTGTTAAAACAATTTGTTGTGAAAAAAAAAAAAAAACTTTTAACTGCGAATATGAATTTTTTGCCGGCATTAGTAATATTAACACATTTTTTTAATATAAATTTGTTAAAGCAAATAGTGTGGTCGTGTGGATAAAGCAAATTGGTACAAAAAAACAAAGGTTTTAAAAGTACATGTGCAATGTGCATAGAGACAAGACATGGTTTATTATAACTAAAAACGTGGTACGGAGTAGAGATTAATCTCTTCGTTCAAACCAATGGCTCAAATTGTCTCACTTTACATATTCACCCTATCCCTTTATGGTGTTTGTATAAAAAGTTACAATTGACAATTTATAGTCCAACCTATGATATCATAGAGGTTTAGGTATTTAAGCTTAACTAGTTGTTAAACCGTGCACCAAGTTAAAATTGCCTAATTGAAAATTGTTTAGAAGCATAAGTAGCATATTTAACCATCTAATTACACAAGCAAATAACATATTCCTTACAATGCAGCTAGGGCACATCACAAAAGATGGTAGGTGTGTTTGCTAGCAACACGGACCATTGCCCATATTCATGTAACAAGCCCCGATGTTCTAGAGGCACTATCTATGCTAACCTGAATACTAACAAAAATAAGTCTAATTATGCCACAGGAAAAAGCGATATGTTAACATTACATAGTATTGTAGAATGTAGATGCAAGCTAAGCATGGTGGCATTGGCTTAGCAGAGCTTACAGGAGTTGTTCCTTCACTCATCAACAGAAAGGCCAGCAGGCGAAGGAGATGATTCTTCAGTGTCCAGGGCTTTTGGGAACATTCTGCAACACCAAGAGCTGGTTGTTCAGCGTCTAGAGGTTTCTGGGAACATTCTGCAGTATCGTTTTCTTCAGGTGAAATAGCAGCAGGCAAAGGAGCAGGGGCTTTGCTCTTCTCTGGTTTCTGGGAGCATTATGCATTATCAGGCTCTACTTCAGTAGCTTTTAAAGCCCTTTGAAGAACATTGCTTTGTGACAGCCCTGTTGTGACCAACTTTGATCAGGAAAAAATAAAAAAAGGCTTTTGCGTTTCCTGCAGAATAAGTTGTTTTTGTGCCTTTTGGATTAGGCATTTTGCTGATTGTTTAGGCTAAATGTATGAGAAAATAAGGTAGTTGAATGTAAATCAAATTTTGAAAGCAAAACCTCAGCATAAGCTACTGGATTGAGACATTGACTGGACACTCCACATTCGCTCACTACAGCGAGACCTCGTGTTGGCAGATTTTCCTGGCAACTGGCAAGCATCTGTCTCTATGAGTCAATAATCAATAGCAAGGATAATAGCCTAAAGAGCAGGTAGGGAAAACGAAAAGTGCTACTAAGGCGCACGCTAATAAAAGATTGGATTATGTTTAGAATCGGGCTAAGCACTAATTATGCCAGCACGAACCGTAGTTTCATGCAGCAAGTTCTTTAAAAACAAAGGGTGATATGGAACAAACCTCAATAAAAACTATACAAGAGCTCGAATAATATATGGGAGGTGAAGGGAGAGGGTATCACACAAAGTAAGGAAAAGCAAACCTAACAGTATAAACTTGGAATAAGGAAGTAAAAGGTCTTCAAACCAAGCAGTAAATAGCAAAACCAAACCAATTACCCATCAATTAGGCAGTAGGCACAATGAAGGCACGGCATAAACTTAGATCCTTAAGCAAGAGCAAATAGCCTATTGCAGCAACACCTAAAAAAAAAGGACAAAACTTGATTCTGAAGCCTTTTGCAGCATATTGGTAATCAAAGGAATAACAAAAGCAAATCATAAAGTCTCGATTTTAAAATAATTGCATATTTACATAGGTACAGCATATTTTAGTGGCTTGTTTCACTAAAAGGCACAAAAACAGACCGGTATCTATGTAGTGTGTTCAGCAGGGAACAGTATCGGCTAATCAATTTATATATGAAGGTGTTACAGTTCATAGGTATTTTATTTCAATCTATATGGTTGTACAATTAGAGAGATTACCTGCTTTGAATTAAAATTATCTAGGTGATTGCAGATTGAATATCACATTATATAAGTGTATAAATTAGATGACATCAATCTTATGGTATGGTGAGTTGAGTTTTAGCACCAATGATCAGTTGGAAAATATATACAAGGAATTATTTTCCCCAATGTAAGGAGTATTAAGAGCACAACTTTGAAATTTGGCAGGAAATTAAATGTGAATAATACTCCTGTAGTTTGTAATTATTGGTTTTGCATAGAAACACTATTTGTTATTATAATTTATGATAAATGGTGGGAGCCAGTTTCTCAATCTTGATGTTTATGCTTTCATCTGTATTCTTCAGAATTTTGATGTTTATGCATCAATTTTGATGGTCTATCAGTAGCAATGAACACAACACCAACCAATAGGTCCACCAAAAATTCAAATAGCAGGAAAAGTTAAGTCATATAATAGATTAAGTGGTATCAAGCTATATAGTGAGAGATAAAAATGAAAATATACTAGATATAGCTGAGGCGAGAGTGTCAATTTGTCAAATGCCAATGTGAAACCTATTTAGGCTATTTTGACTTAATTGCATAGATGAGAAAGAATATAAAACTACAAATTCACTGGCAACTTTACTAATAAATATACCAATGAACAACTCAAAAGCAATATGATTTCTCAATTGCATCTCTGAACCGTGCTGCTCAATACTGGCCAAGTTCAAGTTCACATTTGGAAGTCCTATCATCATTTTCTGCCAAAAGGATATGTTATAAATGTCAGAACATGCAACTTCTGATTGAGGAAAAACATGGGCTAGAGAGAGGAAACCATGGAGAAAAGCATCAGAATTCTAAATTTCGAATCAATTCCGCTGTCAGCAAGTTCAGTCTCACCAAATGCCACCCATTGAGAAAGCATGTTTTTTATTCACCATTTCTGTGCCTCTCTAATTCTGATTTTGGGTAACCTTTTTTCAATGGTTTTATAAATTTCATAGAATCCCAGAAAATAAAGAAAACAATAGTCCCAATGCTTTTGGGCCAGCTTCCCTGATTAACTCTCCCTCTTTCTGAGTTTCTTTTTAATTTGTTTATCTTGTTCCATTTACTGTGTTCATGCTTTAATAATTAAATGGTACCATTCTATTTATGGGATTTAAGTTGAATTTTTTTAAATGAGATAATTTGATTAGTTTGATACTGATGTTTCTATGGAAAACAAAATATTCAAAAGAATTTGTAATAGTCTATAATTTGATTAGTCTGATGATTTGTAACAGTGTGTAGTTTAATATTTTTTTTACAAATTGTGTATTCTAATTGAGTGATTCATTTGAAAGCTTGATTTTTGGTTTTTTTTTTTTTTTTTTTTTTTTTTTTTTTTTTTTTTTTTTTTTGTGACTTGTGCTGCATAAGGATACTGTGTATTTACAACTAAAAGAATAAAGACCATTGCCTACTCAAATTGATTTTATAAATCTCAATCAAATGCTACTATCAGCATCAACCAAATCGTGTTGAAAACCTATGAATACCCAAGGCCAATTATATAAAGCCTATTGCACAAAAGAGTAGACAAAAGCAAGCACAAAACAAAATGGGTACATGAAAATTCGAAAACACATCACAAAACGATCATTCAAATTAACAAAGAAGATTCAAATTTCATATGACATTAGGGTCCACCCACTTGATTAAGTGATGAAAATAATCAAGTTAGCACAATTCAAACCACAATTTTCATGATCAATCAGGAAGTAGTATGCACCACATCTCATCATTTAAATCAGCAAACCCTTAAATTAAGGATGCAACATCCTAAGATATTACTATTAATGAGCAATATTATGCTTACAATTATAGGACAGATCCTTCGATCACTCCCATAATGCCATAAATCATTTATTCATCAAAAAAAAAAAAAAAAAATAAATAAAAAAATTAATTAACAGCAAATTGACCGACCCGCTGCAATAACTGGTAGAAGGAATTAGGTTGTTTCAATGTAAATTATTGCTTATTTTTTTGTCTTTCAAATGGTCTTCAATTCTTCATATAACCCCCTCCAAAAGAATAAAGAATGTTTTGTATTCCAAATTCTAAATGAATAAAGTCCATTGCCTACTCAAATTGATTATAAAGACCCAAATATGTAAATTAACAACCTTTAAATTTCTGCTAATCAAGCTAAAAAAATCAAATTTTCGACATTTCTTATAACATTTAATGAAGGAAAAAACATAAAAGTATAACAATACCTCACATTGGAAATATCATCAAGGTTCTTGTAGTTTGGTCCCTTGAATTATACATAAAACCACCCACAACTTCAACTTGAACAATCAAAATCTACATAACTGTACGTCTATGCATTTCATAATACATGAACCAGCACATCAGGATATCATATCAATAAAACATCCCCCCTTTTTTTCATTTTATAGAAAGCAGTTAATACACCTTCAATGAGATAAGTATGCAATTAACACTACTATCAGATAATGTAAAGCCTTAAGGTACTTTTCCTTTGTCCCTTTAGGGGGGATACATGGTACAAATAAAAAAGGCTATCTGCCCAATCAGCCAAGCATAATTTCATTAGTAAACAAAGAGCTAAGGCACGAAGAAAATTAGCTAATTATGCCCTTTTTAGAAAGTGAATCAGTTGATAAAGAGTATTTTCAGTTCAAGGTTCCTTAATCAAGTTCCATTTATCATTACATCAAGAACATTGTAAAAGCACAAAGTAACACATTCACTGGTAATACTAACAACAGCAAGATAAATAGCAAGAGCATAAGGTTTACTTTGTCTCTACTCCAACCAAACAGGAGAGAGATGTGAAAATGACCAGGCCACGGCCCACACGAGCGCCAGACATCTAGCAATGACAGAACAATTTAAAGGCAAGAATGTCAGTCCACTGACGAGAGACCATTGGAGAGAACAGCAAGGAAGTGTTTCTACTAGTGTGTCGAGAAATTAAAAAAATTATATAAAGAAAAGGTATTAGCACTCAACAAATAAGATTGACAGGGAGATTTTAGGGAAATTAGAAAAAGGATTAGAAGCACTAATGTAAAAATTGATAATTGGATTGAGGGAAAACTAGTAAAATATGATTGTACTGATAAAAATCACTGATTACAACAACCTAGCCAACATTTGAGAGGTTAGTGCTCTACTGATCTTAGTATTCATGAACTAAGTCCTTCACTATCATCATGGCATTCTTTCACAGTTGTTCTCACTTGCATAGAAGTCCCTCGAGTATTCTCCACAGAATAAAGCAAAATTTCATTCAATCTACTGCATATCATAATTATCATCTTAGTAATGATAATATGGACCACATTGCAACATGCAATTGGTCTGAAATCAATTTCTTATTCAGAGTTACAAAATTTGGGGATAAGAGTCATGTAATATACCACTCTATAAAAGCTTCTTTATAGTGAAAAATGACGCATAAATAAGCAAGACTCGCTGTGAGACATTAACAGGAGTGAGCAGAGGCCCAATCAGAGGAACTTGAGTCAGATCAGTGGTTTTGCATGTTGAAGCTTCCACAAAATAGTCTATAGTTAATCAAAGGATGAAACAACATTACAAAACTAGCTAAGTTCGCCTCTCTATTAAAGTAAAATTTTAATGGTATTATACAATGCAAGAAACCAGCCCAGGCCCAAGGTGCAATTTACATATACGAGAAGAAGGCCTAAGAAAGCTACTACAACAACCTGAAGATGAGCTGGAAGAAATCTGTTACTGGATTCTGTTATGGGGAGGGGTAATAGAGTAATTTCAGGCTGGGTTGTTAATTTTTTGTTATGGGGGAATCTAGTATAAATAATGAAGTGGTAATGATGAGAAGGCATCCAGAAAATTGTAGTAAGAAGTTTTGGAGAGCTTCCTTCCTCTCGAAAGAAGAAGATTTGTATTGTTGATTATTCTGATTCGCAATACATCATATCAACAGTTTGCTAATTTTTCTTTGTGTACTTAGATTGCTCTGCTTTCTGATTTCAATTCCTAGCATACAACTAACATTACAAAATTATGCCATGAAATAACAGCATTAGAATAAAGAATAGAGATATTTGGATTATTTCAATGCAGAGTAATTCTCCCACTAATTTAGACTAAAGCATAAGAACAACAGATGGCTCGGTCAGGAGTTCATGAAAGTTCGAAAATCACACAAACCATTCACCAACAGCATACAATCTGATACAAATATGTCATCCACAGCCCAGCCCATAGACATTGATATAAGTACCCAACAAAAATACCATTAATTCAAAAACAAACTAAATTCCAACATCAACCAGTAACCAGATTGTCCAGATATCATAATATATAGAGTATAACATTTTCCCAAGACTCTCATATAATCTGACACAATGTCACCAACAGATAACACCTACATTTATAATGAGTTGATAAATATACCTAGTAGAAGTTGGACACAACATTGATCCTTGCTTGAGCACCTTCAAGGAAACTAGGACATGGCCAGGCTGTGAGGTCGTCAGAACCCAGCAACAGCAACAGCAGCCGCCTGTAGGAGTCTGTATTAAGGAGTTTACACCAAAAAGCACAATTTAACATAAATAACAACACAAAGAAGTACATTCAGTGAAGCTATTAAACAATTTACAGGAGTTCAAAGCAAGACCAAAGTAACCATGACTTTTTTCTGCTGTTAATAATATGAGCTTACTAGTTACTACCCGACCTTCTCTCTTTGGAAATCTCACCTATGTCCAACAATCGTGAGTGTACCAAAATAATGCACTTGTAAAAAAAAAAAAAGGCAACACTATATATCAAGAACCACTGCATACTCGATACAACTATACGAGTAATGCTGCCTTAAAATTAATATTAAAGTAATCTAATGCTTGAAAGAATTGAAACTAAAGAATCCAATAATAACACGTACAATAAATTTGAAGGCAGAGTATCTGTTCCTAAGAAGCAAAATAAACAAAAACCAAAAGTAGTACAATATGCTACAATAACTTCAATTGAAATGTTTGGTTGAAAATCCATTTCCAATTCCCATGATAACATATATGTATCTTACAAAATCAAGGGTTCAAATTAAAGCTTATCATTCTCCAAAAAATAATTCAGGAGATAAATTTACATTTGGTTGATATAAGCTAGATACACTTCGTTTAATTCTCAGCATTTCTCTGATTGTATCTTCATTCCCAAAGTGTTGTTCAAAATCGAGCCATTGAGTCCAAAAATCAGGATCTGTTTCAAGATTAAACAGTGAGGAGGCATATATATAAATAGCCCGAGCACGATCCGAGTCATCTAAACTCTTTTCAAGAGCAGCAAATTTCAAGCACAGCGCCTTCGCTCTATCATCGGTTATACCGGCTTCCGCTATTGCATCTTCGTACATCCTTCTCGTCTTTGCAACTCCGAATATTTCAACAACTTTTAATGGATCGTCATCAACCTTCAAAAAATCAAAATTTTTTTTTTTTCTACGGTTAGCATCATCACCAAAAATAAAAATACTGCAAATTTTAATTTTTTCAAGGGTTAGCATTATCAGCCAAAATTACTGCAAATCAACCTTCAAAAAAATCAAAATTTAATTTATTTTAAGGATTAGCATCATCACACAAATTATCAATTTAAAAAAATCATTACGACATACAAATCTAACGAAACCATAAAATTGAACGATTATTGAATTCAGTCAAATATTTAGCAAAGGCAAAAATAAATAAATTTGAGATGTAACAAGTAATTCAAACTTACATCGATCTTTCTTGAATCACCCATGTAACCATGTTGATTAATTGTTTTCGCCGAATCCTCCATAAATATTTGCTGCCGATCAGAGTACAAAATTGTCTATATAATAAATTGAAACTACGATTTCCTATTCTCAAACGGATACAGCTTATGGTTTGTTACGGGGAGTACTAAATGCAGAGACAATTTTAAATAAGTAAATTTTTGTAAAACATTATATTCCAATTTCGCCCTTATTCTAACTTATTCAACCTTTCATCCTATTTAATAGGAAAATTTGTTAATTATTACCTCAGAAGGAGCTCCCTTGTTAATTACTACCCGTAAAAAAAAAAGTTTCTAATTACTACTCCACATTCAACATAATTGCACCGATTACTACCCAAGTGTGACGTCATAACCCAATTGTAACCACACACTAACCTAACTAAAGTTAAATAAACCTAACCCACCCAAAATTTTTAAAAAATTACCCCCAATTAATTACCCCCCACTTATTACCTCACCTAACTGGCGAAAAAAAAAAGAAAAGGTTAATTCTTCTTTTCTTCTTCTGATCTCTTCTTCATCTTCTTCCTTAGCAAAACTCCATTAAAAACTAGAATTACAGTTCGTTTGCGAAGCAAAACCAGTGAAAGCTCACAATATTTGCCCTAACTAACAAAGTAATCTGGTTGTGAACTTGGGTTCCAATTGAATTTTTCCTTTCTCATTCTTTGCTCTCAGTTCCTGCCTTTCTTCTACAAGCCTTAGTATGATGTCCCTTTGCCATTGAGTCATTTCTTCATCATGCCAGTAAAAATAATTGCATCCCCTACTGTTTGTTTCTGCATCGAAATCTGGGCAAGCAACAAATCGTCTTCCTGGATTCTCTTTTGTCCAAGAGGTCATCAATGAAGTGTGTAATCCGCACCTACAAAGCCTAGTACTTGGTCGAGCAAGTTGCATACTCATCTTCAATCTAAACCAATTGATATTGAAGGTTAAATTCTGCTCAATTGTTCAATTGTGTAAAAAACCCAAATTTACACACAAAACCCTAAATAATTTGTTCAATTATCACAAGATTAGGGGAAACAAATCATTTACCTTTTCAAAAGTGTTGCTTTTGCAAGCAGAAATGCGCGAATCACCAGGAGGATGAACACTTACGTGATTTACAGAGGAAAGGATGAGAGGATTTGGGTGAAAGATCCGTTGAGAAGTTCAGTTGGCTTCTCTCAATTGATTTTATATCAACTGAGTTGTTGGGGTAAATTTCTTAGTTAATTTGTGTTAATTAAGGTTAATTAGGGGGTAATTAGGGGGTAAAAGGTTATAATTTGGGTGGGTTAGGTTTATTTAACTTTAGTTGGGTTAATATATGGTTACACTTGGGTTATGACGTCATATGTTGAGTTAAGTCACCGGAAATAGCACTTGGGTAGTAATCGGTGCAATTATGTTGAATGTGGGGTAGTAATTAGAAACTTTTTTTTTACGGGTAGTAATTAACAAGGGAGCTCTTTCTGAGGTAGTAATTAACAAATTTTCCTATTTAATATTCAATAATATACAAATTTAGGAAAAATTAACAAAAATATCATGACCTTTGTCCGGTCCGCCATAAATAAAACCACCTTTTGATAATTCCCCAATAAAACGACCTTAGCACATGATCTTCTAAAAATAGTGTGAAACCGATTGGTAACCTATTTAATGGGTTAGTATGACACATGTCCCTTAATAATTAGTTAATTGCTTTTTTTTTTTTTTTTTTTTTTTTACAATTTTCTTATTTTAAAAAAATTAATAAAAAAAATTGATTTTAATTTTTTTTTAAAAGAAAAATCCCGCACAACCTCAGCTCCTACCCCGTGAATTCCCCATGAATCACGACGGCAGTCAACCACCGCCGGGTGGGAAATCCTTCACGGAATCTTCTACGTCGTCACCTACAGTCGCTGCCACATTCTCTTTCCTCCCTCCGCCACACTCTCCACTCACCCCTACCACCCTCTCGCGACCTCACTCACTCCTCACCACCACCACCTTCGGCTTTTGGAGGGGAATGTGGGGTTGTTGTAGTTGGGAGGGGAAGGTGTTGAAACTCCAAAACCTTCACGATTCTCACAACTTGAATTCACAGGATTGGGTACCTTGAGATTGGGGTCAAGTGTTTCAGAGGGGAAGGATTGATTGGGCTGGTGGTCTGGCGAGTAGTTGAGCATTGCGGGAATGAAGGGGAAGGGCTGAATTGCGCGGTGGCGCTGTGAGGCAGCAACAAGGTTGCATCATGGCTGCAAAGGGAGGCTAAATGGGGAAGGAAGGGTGTTGAACATGGCTGAGATCAGAGAAGAGGAGGGAAGGATTTTTTTTGCTTTTTTTTTTTTTAATTAACTTTTTTTAAAAATTTAATGTTAATTTTTGTAAGGGAAATATGTAAAAATTAAAATTAAAAAATCTTGATCAATCACAATTTGACACGTTTCCATCTTTAACCTTTGAAGCAGGTTACCAGTTTTTTATTCTATTTTTAGAATATCATGTGTGTAGGGAATAATTTCAAGCCTTTAAATCCCACTAGCTTGAACCCCACTGTGATCATACACTAAAGTACGGTGGCGTCCAAAAGGGAAGAAGATAGAGCAAAAGAGTCGCCAACAAGTTTTTAGGAACTTGTAAACCGTTCATAGGATGAAGGTTACACCCCTTAACGATCCAAGAGATCGTCAACTCCATAAGGTCTAGAACCAAATAAGGGTTCGGGGATGAAGGTACAAATCCAACCTAAAAGAGATTGAACCTGCCCTAATAATATACCTCTACTTTATTCTGATCGTATTCATGTGCGCTTTCTGATTAACATGCAATCAATAGGATTAACCCTAAACCTGTTTATCTATGTTGGTTGAATATTAATGCACAAATAAACCTATTATTGGCGATCACTTGAAATATAATCACAATTAACCCTAAATAAGATTATTAAATATCTTATTAAGCGTGATTACAAGTACCAATTCCCTTTAAACATGCATAAAAGGCGTGATCAAGCAATAACAATATATAATCAAGCAACATGATAATCAATAAAAAATAATAATTATAATCATGACAATAAAATTATAATAATAATAATCATAAAAATAATAATCATAATCACAATAATCATGACAATCATAAATCATAATTAAAATAATAATCATCATAATAACAATAATAATATTCATAATCATGTTAAAGCATAATAAATATAGCAAGATCCTAGGCATGATACTAACAAGATTAATAACAAACCCTAGCATGTCACTAAGCCATAAAAATCAAATCTTTAACCCTAGCATGATACTAACAATCATAAATATTAGGAAGAACATAGGAAGCATTGCAGGAATCATATTTAATATTAAAATTACCCTAGACATGATACTAGGAATATCATAAGAACAATGTAAACATGATTTCTACATCATAATATCAATAAATCAATTAAAGGTACTTACTTTGATGCCTCGTACCTCTTTCTAATAACAAAATACACACGTTAGTAACTTCAAGGAAAATAATAAACAAACAATTAAATTAAATAATTGAAATAGATATTTGGGACCAAACCCTCAGAAATTAAACCTTTCACGTCTAGGGCGAAGGCAACTTCGAATATGGCTAGGTATTTCTAGATCTTGTGAATGCGGAATTTTGTATATAAAAACAAAGTTTAAAGAAGAACGATGAATGAATGCTAATTAAAACTGATTGTAGATCATGAAAATTGGAGAATGATTAAGAGAGAATTAGAGAATTAATGATTGCGAATGAAAACTGATTGTAGGTGCATGTAGATTCTTGAAAACGGAGTTTTTAATACGATATTTATAAAGAAAAAATCAGCCAAAAAGATAAATTAAACAAAACAGAGTCTGACGCATAAAGAACAGAGCTGGCGCCAACCCTGGCTAGCTGGCGCCAGGCACCAACCCAAGCTTAAATTTAACGCGTTTTCGAAAATTAGATAAGTTTGCCGTACTGGAGGATAAAATCATATAATTCCCTCGAAAATGCTATTTGATTTTGATTAAAACTCTGAAAAGTCAACAAAAGTCAATTTATCAATGCTAATTGAATTAGGAATGAAAAGAACCTTCTAGAAGATTCTAGAAGAACAAAACCATTCCTAATTGCATTAGGAATGATAAATCATATTAGGCCCCCCCCCCTAGATCATTGGGCTGTATATAAAGCTCAAACCGGACCCAGTTTAGTAAATTGGCCATAACTTCCTCAATATTCATCGGAATTGGGCTTATAATATATCGTTTGAAAGGTCTTTGTAAGCCCCATGCAACTACACTAATATTGGACCCATATCAAGGACCAACCAAACTGGATTGACTGTTTTATTAAAAATAAGTTTTCAAAAACAGAGAGAACAGAAAAGAAAATAAAACTTTCCGCAACACTAGACTTTCACACTTTCTCTTCATTCGATTATGATTCGACGCAAAAGGTACTCATCACCGGGTTTGGTTTTGGGGAGACACAAATGGGTGTCTACAGAAGCCCCCACTTTGACTGAGTTTGGAGAAACACAGGTTTCGAAAACAAAAGTCAAAGTATCGATAGGGACGGAGAATGATTCAGAATGTTCTGCGATCCTAAATCAATCTTGCAATAATGTAATTTTTATTTAAAGTTAATTTATTTCAGCTTTATTTAAATTCCATCAATAATGTAATTTTATTTTATTAATGAAATTTGAGCTTTCAATTAATTTATTTACTTTAAATTTATTTTATTAAAGCAATGAAAATCGAAAAATTAATTAATTTTTCAGAAATTCTTCGAGTACGGAAGTCGAAAATTTTCCGAAAAAACACCGCACGTCGCCCAGAATTTATTTCCAGATTGGCGCCACTTATTTGCAATTGGCGCCAATCATTGAAGTCTGGCGCCAGGTTCTTCTCTGCGACGCTGTTGATTCGCCGATCTTCTGCCAAATTTTTACTTAATTTTGGAATGCGGGGATGTTGAAGAATAAAGTGGCCGCACCCGTAAAGGGTTGCCTACGTATCCTTTATTAAGGAATCAGGTCGAACGTAGCTCTCTTGAGTATCCTACTCAAGTAATTATGGGTAGTATTTCTTAAATTGGTCAAGATTTTTCATGTTTGAGAATTCATTGCCATCCATATCAGTTAATTTTGCTGCATCTCCTGACAGGATTGTTTTGACAATGTAGGGTCCAGACCAATTAGGTCTAAATTTACCCCTTGGATCTAAAACATTTTTCCTTAGTGCTTTTAACACTAAGTCTCCTACTTTGATATTTCTTTTCTTGACCTTCTTATTAAAATGCCTAGCCATACGAGTCTGGTAACACTAAGTGTGATGTATAGCTTCTAGTCGTTTTTCATCGAGTAGAATCAATTCTTCATATCTTGCCCTAGTCCATTCGACTTCATCGAGTTTACTCTCCAGCGCAATGCGTAGAGATGGTATTTCTAGTTCGACAGGTTATACGACATCCATTCCATATACCAAGGAAAATGACGTATTCCTGTTGATGTACGGGTTGACGTGCGATAACCCCACAATGCGAAGTGAAGCTTGTCAGGCCAATCCTTATAATTTTCTGTCATTTTCTCGATGATAGACTTTAAATTTTT